ATGGCCCCAGTGTTTTGTGAGGGACCACCACCATGGCTCCAGTGTGTTGTGAGGGACTTCCACCATGGCCCCAGAGATTACCTGGTCTGCTGTTACAGTAGTCATGTAGTGGTGATGTCATTCTTCAGCCATATTTACGGAGTAGTATTAAGGTCCAGTAATATGAATGTATTTCTTTTTTGAAGGCCAAATGTACAATAACTTAAGCCCGGGTGAACAATATACATAGCAGGTTAGTTTCCTTATTGACCCAATCATGTTATCCTACGTCTTATCATGTGGTGGTATTGTTCTAGTAACCGAACCTAACCTAACTTAACGTAAATGTTTTTACAGTACGGTGGGAGAAGTGTGGCTGGGGATGGTGTGAGTGGCCTGTAAGATTGTGGTGGTGGTGGTGTGGCGAGACTGTGGCAAAGCTGGAAAAGAGACCCGCTAAGTGCTGTCTCTCGTACACCACCCTGCACTCGTGACCTCAATCTACACCTGGTCACTCCAAATCAGAGGAGGGGGATGGGAGTGGAGGGGAGGAAAGAGGAGAGTGGATGAGGTGGGGTGGCGGAAAAAGGGAAGAGAGGAGGGGGTTTGAAGGGCGTCGGGAGGGGGGGGGGGTGATCTGGGGTGGCGGAGTAAGAGGGCGTGAGGGAGCGGATAAAGGACAGAAGAGGATGATAAGAGCCATTGTTTACGTTCACTAAGACGCGTCATCAGTGGTAAACAACACACGCGAGACTAGTATTAATTATAATACATAAGGTAAACAATGCTCTCTTGTGTCGCAATGGATGTATTTTATGATTTTATTTAGTTTATTGATATGCATATGCTTGTAATAAACTAAAAAAAATTTGAATTACAAAGACGTATTGTGGAATAATAGCAGGTGCAGGTGTGTTGAGTCGTGCCACCAGCAGCATCTGTCCATTAATATCTTGTATTAAGTCTCAGCACCTGTTCATAACGTTGTATCGTTAGCCAGAAAACTTGTCCATGTATTACAGTAGCAGTGACTTATACTGGAGGCTGGTGGTGGCGACAGCGGCCTCGTTAACAAGATGGGTTTGGTGCTCCAGTGCCGGAAGTGTGGCTGACACTGACCACAGTTTAGTGGATAATCACTGCAGGCTCATCCATGACTGCGGCGCTCACCAGTCTATATTTTTTCGCTGCCTCTGAACCGTAGTCAAGTGTGGGAGAATCTTTAATGGCTGGTCGTACGAGGGTGTGCCTTGAGAGGTCCACTCTGCGGCTCACACTGAATGGTATATAGTATAGTAGGGATCTGAGGTGAACACTGAGGAACACCTTCAAGTGTGAAGCCTTAGAAGCAACTGAGGAGCTTCACGTTGATCCTGGGTCAGTGAACACAGGGTGCTGTTCCCCCACACTACCGTAGCTCTCGGCAGTACAGAGTGTACAGGGAAAACTGAGTCATTTTACTTTACCAAGCCGTGAAGCAGCACAGGTCCACTGTAGATCCACACCTCTATCACAACACTGAGGGCCGTCTTATTTACCACCACTTGTTAACCGAGTCAACAACTGCCTATGGCTCACACACTTCTGCCTTCAACTTGAATAAGATTTCGGCCCGCCGCTTTAGTGACGCTAATCTAAAGCTCTCAGAGATATGAAGGTTGCGGCATAACTGAAAATTAAAAAGGTGTCTGGTGTATTGCTGCTGAAAGCTGGTAGCGAAGATAACATGCATTTGCCTTTACTGGTAACAGTGCAAGACATAATCCCGCTTATATGTTACCATCATGGGGTTGAAACCACATGCCTGCGACTTAATCCCTAACCTCTCGAAGATCACAACCAGTGAGCCAAAGACTTTCCTAAATAGTGAGATCCGGTGCAACAAGACCACCATTTATGGGTTTCAAAACCTTTTTTTTTCGTATGTGTGGTTGTTAAGACGTTCGTTTTAACTTATTATAAGATAGTATAATAATTCCTTAACTCAGGGAGAACGCTGACATGATTGTTAGTGACACCTGCCCCTGTACTCTGACTAAGAGAGTCCTAACAGATCCTGTTATGGTAGATGTATTCTAGTCTAATACAAAACCCAAACAGGGAATCAGAATGATAGCGATGTGACGTGACTTGTTGACTTGCCTGTTGGAGAAACATACAAAGTTTTCCAGTACAGTAAACGAGGCATTGGTGATGAGGCCAGTAGCAGGGAGAACCATGCAGACCTTTAGTGGTGGGTCAGTAGGAGCGCTTACCTGGTTCCTTCAATTTCTTGGACCATGTCAGTGGGTGAGGCGGCTGGTTGGTAATTTATAGAGAAAGGCAGAGTCAAGGTGGGGGAGCTCTTGGCCAATATAGCTTAAAAATGCACTGCCAATTAAAAATAACACCAAGAACTTGTTAGTTATTCACACACACAAGACGGAGCGTCGTTAAAGTCAGAGATTAGATATAACCAATTCCAGATTTTCACGTGTCAGTCCCGAGAGCTTCTACCAAACCCACTAAAACTTTATCACTCAAATATGATTTTTCTCTTAAGACTAGTTGTGACAGGACTAGATCTTGGTGGAGTGTTAAGACCAAGGGGACGACCAGAGAGGTGGAGGAAGGTGGTCGATCCCTCCTGTACACAACTCTTGAATAAAGGAGAGCGTCCACTAAGAGGCTTGTTCCTCCTGGTGATTGCACTCCACTGCCCGTGTGCTCTGCTCTGTATATTACAGAGAGATATATCTTACAAACACAAACTAATGACTCTATGGCCGCAGTCAGCCGTGTTTCACTTACAGTACATTAAAGAAACTAAGAGTCCCAATAACTATTGTTGTCATGTGAATGTCTGCACATGTTTCTTTTCGGTAATGTTACAGTAGGTGAGGTTGTAAGATCGTGCAACACATGCTGCCACCCTTTAAGGGCTTGGCACTCTTAAAACAACTTACATTAATTCCCTGACCTGGTAGCGTGACGCGAGAGGAAGACCCATAGATACATGTAATTATAGTATCGAGCATTAGGAAAGAACAACGGTGAATACTATAGGTGAATAATAGACCCAACATACAAATACAAGGTTTATTAAAACACAAATAGTTACAGAAAAGACGTATGCACCCAAAATAGGAACTCCTGGTACCATGCCCTCAGGCTCAATTTACTTGCACCACTACTGGGTGTACACACACCAAAACTCTCACAGCACCTTAGCACCATTAAAACCAGTGGCACCTGCTAGTACAACACTCAATACCCCAGGGGCAATACTCCAGCGGTCGCCATGGGAGTCTCATCACCAAGTGACACCTTCCAACAAACTCTGATAATTCCGGTGGAATAATACCACCACACAAATAGCCCTACTGAGTTATGTACTGTACTCATCCACCAATGATGGGGCTGGCAGTAGTTTGTGGGGCTTGACGATCCGGGTTCACCATGTGGGCATAACGTTAGGGGAATACTGGCCAGCTATGGGGCCCATAGGTGGTAGTGGAGCTTCTGACGGTCGGGGCTCACGGGGATAACCGATTCTACTTGACCTCAGATATCTCCCCAGACTAGTGGATGCATCATCCACGCTACCGACACGGCCTAGGCTGCGATAAGGACCTATGGGTGAGGAGCGTGGCGGCTTACTGATTTGAAAAACAAACCTCAACGTTTCAAAGGACGTTAAGGACATAAAATACTTCACTCAAAGTACATCAACTACGTTACTGTAACACTTGCACAATCAAACTATCAATTAGGTCAAATCACTTAAAAATGGCGAATTACAACACGGAGAAGGTGGAATGACCTACCTGTGGGTGGGAAGCAAGGCGGCTTACTGATTTGAAAACAAACTGCCGTCTTCCACCCACGCCCAAGTCACAGATTCCACCTACTCAACCATATCACTGAATTATGTTACTGTAACACTCTGACGTTTGAAACTGAGACTACGAACTCAGTTTCATTCCCTACTATTATCTTTACTAACAATGCTCTGACTGTGCTATCAAAAGCAAGAATTAAATTGATCACAAAAGGTTGGATGGCAATCCCGTCCCAACACACAACGCCTTACTACAACACCCGAGGAGCAGATTTAGAAGTTCCTTTTCAGGAATATTAACTTATTCCTTAGTTAACCTCCCTACCACAATTTCACTATGATTATCAGAGTCATAGGTAAAAAAAAGAAGGTTAACAGGGTCTTGGTAGCAGAAAGAGTTTACAACTTCGGTCAACAAACATACTGCATCTCGTTGACGTCATCAAGGAAACAGAGAGAACAGAGGACATTTCCAATGGGAGACTCAGAAGGTTTTGTGGACGTGTAAGCGTAATATGAATCCTTAGGTTTCAACAGGCTAGCTGTCATTACGATCATGACAAGGTAAGGTGTAATAGAGGAGTATCTTGTGGTGCACGAGGCCATAACTCACCATCATTATTATGACTTTTAATTATCCAATTTTAACATTATATTTCATCACAGATATAGGTGATAGATAGCTTTTGTGAGCTTTAATTCTTTGGTTTAGAGCTCTCAAGATATTATTTGGTTCAACAATGATGAAATATATAAAAAACTTTGTGAGTAATGAATTGCCTACAATTATTTATGTTGGAAAACAATGCATACAGTGAAATTGCGGCGTTTTTAAATTCGTTTTCTATGAAAAATCAGCGACTGTGAAGTCGTAAATAGTTAACGGTTTAATTTATAAATAACTACCTTTTAACACATTTTCTATAACTACGATAGTGTCCACTATAAAACAGTGAAATTGCAGCATTTTAAAATTAATTTTCTATGAAAAAACAGCGGCTGTGAAGTCGTAAATAATTACCCTTTCATGTTGTGGTGTTAGTGCCGTGGAGCTGTCGTGTTGACTGTATTGTCGGTGTTATCGTGTATTATGTAAATTTGATGGTTTATGACGTGATGCTTGTGTTTATATATTGGACTATAGGCCATGTTATATTATTTTTACTTTAATATATAACATGTATATTTTGTTTTGTTTCAGAGGATGAGTTAGCGTGAGTAGCCGCCATGGTGCTGATCAAGGAGTATCGCATCCCACTCCCACTCACGGTGGAGGAGTACCGCGTCGCCCAACTCTACATGATCGCTGTTAGTACCTGACCATCATCACCACTCATATTATTGCTCTTACTCATTCCCAGTTCTCTGGTGCAGACTGAATGATAATTCAGTGGAACTGATTATCTCTTTAACATTATATTTGCTATGATAAATTATGATGACATTACTGTAGTTGCAAGATGTGATAATTGACAACACTGAGACATTTTTTTAAATGTACAATCTATGCATATAATGATTATCTATTTGTCTTCTCGATTTTCTGCATGCTGCCTGGCTTATTGCATGTTTTTGTGGCTTCTGAAAGTGTGTTGTGTAAGTGAGGCTTCTTGTGACACGGCAACTTGCCGCCTCTCGCTTAACCACTTCCTTCACGCTGAACCTGAGCCACGCTATCACAAAGGCTTCTTTCTCACTTGTGATTTAGTGTATACTTGTGATGAACCTGGAGACTAATGTTATAATAATGTTCTGGAAAATAAAGTGAAGCACGATTGGTCTAAGTCGTATACAACTCAGGATTTAAAGAAAAATTTAATGCCCAGTCAAGAAGATGGTTCAAACGGTTGAATACCGCATCCCACTGCCACTCACAGTTAATGAGTACCGGATTGCCCAACTCTACATGTTGGCGGTGAGTAGCTTCATTCTCTGCCCCTGGGTGCTGCCGTAGTAGAATAAACAACCTACAAGTAACATCCAGTAATACAGTATCGGGTCAGTTCAAGATAGTAGCCAGGTTTCAGTTAACTTAGGGCGGTTACCACCAGAAACGAAGGTCAGATTCGGGTAAATTTATAGTTCACACAACTCTGCTAGAAAGTCAAAACTATGGTTTTCTAGTATATTTTTGTGTGTTTTGATTGGTTCTGACCTTGATTGCCATCGGAAATTGCCTGTTTTTTTTTTTTAGTTATCGCTCCCTTCTACCCCCAACAAGATAGGGGATCCTGTTGGGAACCGAGGTTTTTGGTGGGGGAGAGAAACAATCGTTTTCCGACAAAAATCATGGTCAAGTGAATACAATATACACCAAAAAAGACTAGAAAACATAAACCTAACCTTTTTGGGATGATTTAACCTGACCTAACCCAATATAACCTGACCTGACCTAACCTGACCTAACCTAACCTGACCTGACCTGACCAAACCTGACTTGACCTGACCAAACCTGACCTAACCTAACCTGACCTGACCTAACCTGACCTGACCTAACCTAACCTAACTCTCACAGTGTTTTTACATAACCAGACTCTCACCATATGAGGGAATCACTGTTATTTTTTACCTTATTTCGAATTAGAATCCGAAATTCGAGTAGGCTTGGAAGGTGGAGAGGTTTTTTCCCCAAAATGCACAATTAACTCCATATAATTGAAGTGACACCCATCGCAGACTTCCATGGTCGGAAATGAATTTGAATTTCGATGCATGCGAAACCCAAAATCACAATCGGATCATATTGGGCAAAAAATACCGCGAATTCTAAAAGCAAAAACCATAATTAATTTTAATTGGTGGCAAAAAAAAGAACGCTTTTGATTGGTAACGTGTACGGGAACGCATGCACATGACGATTTATGAGGGGAACACACTTAGTGGGAGGTTGGGTAGGCGATAATGGCTGAAGATTAATGGAATTAAGTAGAGAAAGATTTGACATGCGCCATCTCCATTATTAAATGTTTCCGACGGTATGTAATAGAAGAAAATTATCTTAAAATTAGGTGTCATTTTTCGAATATGATAAAAGATTTGGGGTAGGAAAGTTGTGTGAACTTCTATAAAAATACTACCCAGATTCGTTCGAATCACGAGAACCATAGGAAATGTGTATTTTTGTGAAAAAATCGAAACGTGGTTACTATCATAAAATGACCCAGTATTGTATCCTAGAAGCTGATTACAGTATTAACTAACATTTCTTATTCACATACTTTAGTGTGTGGAAGAGGTAACTACTGTAGTATTCAAGTTTAATCACTGGACCATGTTTATGTTCTCCAATTTATCAGTAAACGAATATTGTCCAGTCTAGTTAAGATGATGGGCGAAATTTGTGTAATACCTCCTTGTATCTAACTATATTACTTTAATTAAATCTGGCTATATAAATATGGTATTATTTCACTTGTTGCCACTACACCATCTCGGGAATTTTATTGTTGCAATCAGTAGTTTTAACAAGTCCAAGACACTTTTCTTCAATGGCATTTCTGGCACAAATTACGTATAAGCGTGATAGTTAACATTTTATTATGTATAAAAATTTACCATTCAGTTGTTGCTACTAAATGAATCTTGTGAATTTTATAGTTGCTTTCAGTAGTTATGACAATTTTAAGACACTTTTCATTAATGACATTTCTGGCGCAAATTACGTATAAGCTAAATATTTAACATGGAATAACTAATGCGTTAGCCTTCCCAGGAAGTCGTTAAAAAATACGACATTGTACTGCGTCTTGGGAATAACTGTTGTGTACAACACAGTCTTCAGAAAACAATAACACTAGGAGAACTGTTATTTGGACACATTACGGAAAGAAACAAGATGAGATATATAGAAAATTATGGAAAGAAAGACAAAAATGGAACAAAAAAAGTCAATCAGTCAGCTATAAATAAAATTAAAAACGAATCGGGCCCGTTGTAAAGGTGGGGTCCGGGTTGGGATCCGTAAACCACACTACGTACACTTTCGTCTCGCTACTACATTGTTTACAGCTGTTTGCATACATAAACACACAATACAACGTATTTCAGGTTCGTTTTAAGTATTAATTTTTTGCATTTGCAGAACTTTAATCAAATTGTTCACCCTTATTTAAAGTATTTTATGAGTATGATGTTAAAGTTTTAATCATATTTGAGTAATTAGCAATATTTTACACAAAATTCACCAGCAACTAATGAAATCGGACAACGTCCACGTAAAAATGGGCGGAGCCAAAACTGGTTTCAACTATAAATAGGCGAAATCCTTTTCAATTCTTTCACTCCATTTATACACTTTGCTTTAGGTTCTATTTAACATACTACCGCATATAGAATTATTTTTATTATTATACAGGTAGTTCTGCTATAACGCGATAATTGTGTTCTTGTAAAATATCGTGTTATAGAAAATCGCGTAATAGAAATAACAGGGCTTATGGAGAAAATAGGGTTAGGTGCAGATTACTCGAAATCGAAAAAAATTTAGTAGTTAGCCTAACACAAAGGATAGCACAGTTTAAATAAATGTTACATTCATATCTAATAATGAAATCATACAGTAAATGTAACACTTTACCTTGAAAAATATGAATATAACTTGATGAGGGAGAAGGGTGATTTTGAGGTTGATAACACCGAGCTTCTCTTCAAGTGTTATATCCTTTCTTTTACGATCATCACCGGGAATTCTATCACCAGAACGCTTCTTGTTGATATTCTTCTTTACTATATTCACAGTTAATACAGTGGGGTATGCTATAACGAATGGATCCTACTACGAATATTGCTATAACGAACGGTTTTACCTATAAAATTGAGAATGCTATAACGAACGAAACTCCTACAACGAACATTATTTAATTTTTTTGTTTTTTTCTAATTTATTGTTTTTTTATTACAAATATTAATGATATTCTTTATTTCAGGGGTTTAGATGCATATGTATGCACTTTTTTACAATTTTTACAATTTTATATTATATTTTTCAGTGTTAAGTGGTTGTATTTGGGGGCCTGGAACGGATTAATCCTATAACGAACGAATGCTATAACGAACAAGGTTCTAGAACCAATTAGATTCGTTATAGCATACCCCACTGTACCACAAAATTGGAGAAATAGTAAGCAAAAATCGCGTTATAGCAAACAAGCGTTCGCGTTATACAAATATCGTTCCTAATTCATAAATCGCGTTAGAGCAAATTCGCGTTATCAAAACACGCGTTATAGCAGAACTCACTGTATCACAGTTTTTTATTGGCTTCCATGCCCACAACTCTTCAATATTAATAAAAATATTCGCCATAAGCGGTCATTATCTGTATATTTACACAGTGTATACATGGGAGAAACTCCCTGATTGGTTGTTAGCTATTCAGGCCGCTTGGTCGCTGCTCAAGGCTAACACCTGATCGAGGTGTTAGCTCTTCCCTCTGAATGCTCCATGCTCACAGCTCAAAAGCAGCGTCTGCGCAGACAGAATAGCTAAAGCGTTAGCTATTCCGTAAATTGAAAATGCCTAACAATAAACGCCTTATAAGAACATAAGAATGGAGGAAACTGCAGCTGGCCTATTGGCCCATACTGGGCAGTCCCATTTACACCCAACCCCTATTGCTCATATATCCATCCTACCCATGTTTGAAGCTATCCAGCGTATTCGAGTTAATGATTATACAGTCATGCGCTGGTTAATGTCCTAGATACGTTCTTGGAAATGTGACGTTAATCGAAGTGGACGTTGTCCGATCATCACATAAACTTTTTATTTATACTTACGTGTATGTGGAATACTATATACGTACATATACACTTTTACTCTTAAATCTCTACTATAATGTGATACAGGTGATTAATTATTATCTCTTGTGCAAAATACATGACGTTTATATTAAAATTATTCACTGTTTTACAAGGATTCCATAAACGCCAGCAGATGGGGGAGAGAGAGGGTGGGAGCGAGCAAGGGGGCTGGGGGGAGGGGAGGTAGTACGTTTACAGTTGGCACAGGCCCAGGTCTAACGCTGTATATTTATCAGTTCTTAGGTGACTAAGCTTCTCTCTTATAAAAAGCCAGTGAAATGACCTGGGTGAATATAATTAACATAGCTGGGATTCTTGTAACATACTGATTAATTTGAATATAAACATGCTATAATTTGCACTAGACAAAACAATTTTAGTACCGTAATCAAATTAGTACATGTGCACTCCAGCTTTGCACTAAGAAATCTATGTAAATCTACCCAAAAATACAGTTGAAAAACTTTTTTATAAAATGTACTACAGTACTGTACACTAATGTACAACAATTTTTATCTCTTGAGCAAAATATATGACGTTTATATTCAAATTATTGGCTGTCTTGCAAGGATTCCAGCAATGCAAATTATAATCTCCTAACTTTAGTCTGAGATATTATATAAGATAAAAACTGTAAGCCTAAAAGCCTGGCTGGGGGGAGGGACTGATGGCTCCGCCACCCAGCGAGGGGTTGGGGGGGTTGAGGTGATAAGTTTGAGGTGAAGGTCTCTGTGTGTTTATTTAACAGTCCTACTAAGCTTCTCTCATTTTAAAATGCCAGTGATATGACCTAGGAAAATATAATTAACATAGCTGGGATTCTTGTAAGATACTGATTTATTTGAATATAAACATGTTGTAATTCGCACTAGACATAACAATTTTAGTACCGTAATCAAATTAGTACATGTGCAGTCCAGCTTTGCACTAATTTATTTTACATTTCTTTTAGTATGGTGTGTGCATGTAAATGGATGAAAATAAATGAAGAAATTTATGTAAATCTACCCAAAAATACAGTTGAAAAACATTTTACAAAATACACTACAGTATTGTACACTAATGTACAGTTGTACCCCGCTTAATGCGGTCAATTCAACCCACAGGGTACCGCGTTAAGTGAAAACCGCATTAAGTGAACAACAGAACATATGGGATTAATTCCAATAGAGATTGGCCCGACCCCCAAACTCCACTTTTTGACGACACACAACTATGTTGTAGTAAAAATTTTATCTTAACTTTATGATGGTATGAACAAACAAGTAATATAGAAGAGGTTAGGTTAGGAAAACTAAATGTTAGGGGGCACGGACGTATATGCGATCGGACGTTGTTCGGTCGGGCGTTAACCGGCACATGACTGTATTTGGTAAATTGTTCCACTCATCCATTACTCTATTTCCAAACCAATGCTTACCTATTTCGCGCCTAAATCTAAATTTGTCTAATTTAAAACCATTGTTACGAGTTCGCTCCTGGTTGGATAGTTTGAGTACCTTTGTAATGTCCCCTTGTTCAGCCCTGACTTCCATTTATACACCTCGATCATATCGCCCCTCACTCTATGTCTCTCGAGGGAGTGCAAATTAAGAAGCTTTAACCTGTCTCTATACTCAAGGTTCCTAATGCCCGGGTTTAGTCTGTCATTCTCCTCTGAATTCTTTCCAAGGATTCTATATCCATTCTGTGATACGGTGACCAGAATTGAACTGTGTAATCTAAGTGGGGTCTCACAAGCGCAAGATATAGTTTTAAGATGACCTCTCTAGTCTTGTAACTAACACTCCTTTGTATGAACCCAAGCACCCTATTACCCTTGTTTCGAGCAAATAAACATTGTTTACTTGGCATAAGATTCCTACTTATCATTACTCCTAAATCTTTCTCGCAGTCGGATTTCTCAATCATATCGTTGTTCATCTGGTATCTGGTTTCCCTGTTTACATTTCCTATACTGAGTACTTTACATTTGTCCACATTGAATTTCATCTGCCATTTCTCAGACCATTCGAAAAATTTTTTTTAGATCTTCCTGTAGTTTTGCGGAGTCATCATCAGATTTAATTACACTCCCCATTTTAGTGTCATCGGCAAATTTACTTGCATGTATGTTGCTGTCTACGCCGATATCTATGTCTTTTATGTATATAATAAATAATAATGGGCTGAGTACTGAGCCATGGGGAAGTCCACTAGCGACGTTGCTCCAGTGGGATTTAGTGCCGTTAATGCTCACTCGCTGTTTCCTGTCCTGTAACCATGCCCTAATCCATTTTAGAATATCCCCTTTAATGCCATGAGCCTCCACTTTTCTTATTAGTCTTTCGTGGGGGACTCTGTCGAAGGCTTTGCTAAAGTCGAGATATACCACATCATAATTGTGCCCCTCGTCCACTGATTCGAAAACAGAGAAAAGAATGTTAATAGATTAGTTAGACATGAACGCCCGCTTGTGAAGCCATGTTGGAAATCATTGATCAATTGGTGCTTCTCCAGGTGATTTCGAATAGAGTTTGAAATGATTGCTTTCAGTAATTTGCCTACTATTGATGTTAGACTGATTGGTCGGTAGTTAGAGGATTGTGATCTATCTCCCATCTTGAAAATCGGTATTACATTTGCTATCCTCCAGGATTCTGAAACTACACCCGTTTTTAGGGTCATGTTAAACAACTTTGCTAAAGCATACTAAGCTCTTTCTTACATTCCTGTAATACTCTGGCAAATATCTCATCGGGACCTGGTGACTTATTAGGCTTTAGTTTGTCTGTTTGCTTACAAACATCGTTACTATCTCGCTTAATTTATTTTCTTCGCTATATCTGTATAGAGTCGGTGCCACGGCTATCATGTTTAAATTTTCAGTGGTGAAAACTGTTGAAAAATATTTATTCAGATTATTGCTCATTTTTCCCTCGTTATCAGTTAGCTCGCCTGTATCTGACTGTATTGGTTCAATCTTTTCTCGTGTTTTAGTTTGATACATTTGATAGAATCCCTTGGGATATGCCTTTGCCTCCCTTGCTATCTTCAGTTCATTGTTCCTCTCTGCCTGTCTTATCTCGGTCTTAACCCTACCGGCCATTACCTTATAGAAATCTCGAAGGTAAACTTCACCACGATTTATTCTCCTACCTATAGCCTTCCTTTGTCCAATAATATTCTTTAAATAATTATTAATCCATTTAGGGTCATTGGTGTTTGATCTGAGTTTTCTGTATGGTATGTGTAGGTTATGTATCTATGCTACTGTGCCGAGTAGCAACCTTGTAAATAAGCTACTGTGCCGAGTAGCATTTATATATGTAATTACGTGGCAACACTGCACGTGTTATGTGGCAACATTGCCCCGAGGCTGCCATATGGCAAGGCAGTCTCAGTCTGACTCTGTGGGTCGTGCAAGTCACACGCTATTCACCACTTGTATTTCTCCTATCCGTTAATAAATGGACTTCAGTGTTACCCGGTGTTTCCCTACCCATCACTGCCTTCATCAGGGAACACTTGGAACCTTCAGTATGTTCTGCCTTTGTGCATTTAAGTAACTTTATTTATATTGTTGTGGAACTCGGCAACCTCAGATCTCGTTATCAGGTCTCCCGGTAAGGTGAGGTCGCCCTCTGTGGGTACATTGTGAGAGGTCACCTCATGTGAGGTCATGTAGTTCACTCCCAAGCATGATACCCCTTCTCTCAACTGCCACTTCAAACTATCAAAGTTTGCCCTTCTGAAATCTGGGACTTTAGTGGAATTTTCCTTGCGGCTGCCCTGAAATTCTAATTGGAATCTAACTTCTTTGTGATTGCTGTTAGCAAGTTCATTCCCTACCTCGACATTACTAATGAGGTACCCAGCCAATCACCTCCGATCAATGCCAGTCGCCAGTGTACTGTATGTTAATAAGCCACGCAGATTGGGTCGCCACCCTCAAATCCACAAAAAAATTTAAATTACACCATATAATAGTAAGTTCTTTCTGTTTAATATGCTGGGGGTCCAGAGGGTTGAGCCTTACTACTAGGAAGTTAGGTAAGGTTTAGTGATGTGACTCACCCAACCTAACCTAACCGGTACCCTATAACCTAAGGCATCACGAAAATTTTGACTAACTCCCAGGTTGCTGATCTGACTTTCTGCCTTGTTTACACACAATTGCAGGGTCTCAATTGTTTCTCTTACTATTGACAACACAACATACATATAAATTTCTCACTTTTGATCTTTTTTCATTTTGTATTTATGGTTCTTTATTACTATTATTACCACTACAGCATTATTATTATTATTATTATTATTATTATTATTATTATTATTATTATTATTATTATTATTATTATTGTTATTGTTATTATTATTATTATTATTATTATTATTATTATTATTATTATTATTAATATTAATAATATTATTATTATTATTATTATTAATATTAATATTATTATTATTATTTTTATTTTTATTTTTATTTTTATTTTTATTTGTATTTTTATTATTTTTATTATTTTTATTATTTTTATTATTATTTTTATTATTATTTTTATTATTATTTTTATTTTTATTTTTATTTTTATTATTATTATTATTATTATTATTATTATTATTATTATTATTATTATTATTATTATTATTATTATTATTATTATTATTATTATTATTATTAAATTTTCGCCCTCCGGGCCCCAATGTGGGTCGGTGACCTGTGCCCGGGTGGTCTAATCCCCGTAAAAAAGAAAAGAAATAAAACATTCTGGAGCCAATACATGCCCAATACTTACCAACAGTGTATAACACAGATGTAACTGACCACCCAAGTGGCTAACAGGCTGAACTGATAAGTGGCAGAGAGGATTAAGTAAACTAAAGTGAGTTAACTAAGGTAAGATTTAATAAAGTTAGATTAGGTAAAGTTAGGATAGGTTAGGTCAGGTTTCCTTAGTTTTGGTTGGTTCAGTTTTTGTGTGTTTTTTCTCCACAATTTCCCTTGACTCCAAAGCCCTGTAAACTTTTTGCAATAATTGTCATTGGTAGAAGATGATATCTCCATAGCTAATCATTTCTCCTAAAAATAAAGGCTTGTTCTTTTAAATCACCACCAATTAAATGAGAAAATCATATTATTATTATTAGTGATTCCTGTGCAGATACTCTATGAAAACTTTACCACTGTTTTTCACTTTCTTGTGTTTTGCAGTCGCTGATCACTTTCTGCCATCTTCACCTGTAACTTGTATTTGTCAGTGTCATCATCCATGGTCATCTTCACCTGTTAACAGCTGTACTGTACAGTATATGCTAAAATATGCCACTAACCAGGAGTAACACATTGCTAGTAGTGTATGGCATACAGTACAGGTATTAAACTTTCACATCTAATATTATCGGAACAGTGTTTTTGTTATACTAGCAGTATGCCTGACATACTATACCATCCTTGTCTTGTAGAAAAAATCCAAGCAAGAAAGCCATGGAGAGGGCAGTGGTGTGGAGATCCTTGTGAACGAGCCTTACGAGGACGGGCCGGGACCTGATGGCAAGGGGCAGTACACCCGTAAGGTCTACCATGTTGGTAGCCATTTACCAGGTAAGTTCAGTTGTTTTTATTTAGAATTCATACAGAAGTGGTGAAATTGAACTTTCCTTGCATGGTCAAATTATTTTTCATCACATTTTGTAACAGGAAAGTTGTAATTTTTCACGATATATGCCCGGATAATTCGCGGATTTTTTTCGCGGTCCTCTATTATTCGCGGATGACACCCTGGTTGTACCCAAGAATGTCTGTGGGTATGTAGTTTTAAAGTTGCCGTCATTTTCCTTGGCTGGGACAGGGAGACATTCATTCTAGAGATAGTAATTTCCTTTACCTGTATTGTATATATAACTACATACAAAACGCATACAAATAAATAATAATGGGATAATCCTCTCACAAATAATTAGAAACAAATGTATATTAAAAATGTTGAGTCTACCCTTAAGTCTACTATGTGCTTTATTAATAACAAAGCACGGAGTGGACTTGAGGGTAGACTCAACATTTTTAATACATTTCTTTCTGATTGTATATATGTACTGTACAGTACTGTATTGTATATATATGTGTGTGTGTTTGTGTGTCTATACACACACACACACACAATACAGGTAAAAGAAATAATTGTGTTTAGGGCAAACACATAAAGGGAATATACATTTCTTTGTACACAAGTAAAGATGTAACACCCCCTCCATCCCTGGAAAGCAAATGTTAATCACGGATTTGGTAATTTGTGGCAAATTTGAAGGGCACAGTGTATTGTACTGTAAAGTTTGTCAGAAAAAATTACAGTAATGTACTGTACAGTGTCTGTGAAGTGTTCCACACAATACAGTATGTACAGTACTGTAATGTGCAGTTTATCTGCCTCTTAAAAACTCATCAAGTAATTGCTCCTTGCTGTTACCAATAAGTTGGTAAATTTGATTACTATACTCGGCAAGGCCTCTGCCCCATGTGTGTTGAGTTATGGGGGTTTACTAAAGTAGTTAATAGAGAAAATCCCTCAAAATAATAATTATCTTTATTGTTTTTTGTTAATTATGTTTCTGGATGTACAGTATACTTTAATACTGCAATTGTTTTGTTTTTTCAAGGATGGCTGAAGTCTCTCATTCCTAAATCGGCATTGTCAGTGGAAGAAGAAGCCTGGAATGCATACCCATACACCAAGACCCGGTTTACCTGTCCCTTTGTTGAAAAGTTCAGCATTGAGGTGGAAACTTACTACTTTGATGATGCTGGGAATCAGGATAATGTTTTCAACCTTTCAAAATCAGAAATGAAGCAGAGAGAAATAGGCAAGTCTCCTTATTTTATATCTAAAATACTGTATACCGGTAGTAAAAATTATTATTTAGCAATATTTAGTAAGAATTTTATTTTTTTTTGTGCATGTGTCAGAAAATATGTAAACATTAAATTGTTATGGTGAAATAATAATATGGTTGTAATTTCCCAGATTTGATTGATGTAGTGAAGGACCAACTATATGGGGCAGACTATGTTGAAGATGAAGATCCTCGCAAGTACAAGTCACAGAAAACTGGAAGAGGCCCTCTAGTGGATAACTGGATCTCAGAGTACTGGGAAACATGCAAGGTTAGATCATACATACTATACTGTCGCTATAGTATGACTGTTATATTATTTTGGAGGCAACCTGAGTTGGGAATTCCATATACAGTGGTCCCTCGGTTAACGAACGGTTCGATTAACAAAATTTCGGCTAACGAATTAACTACCACAGTAGGTTCTCGCCAATAATGACTTCCACAATAACGTTTTCGACAATAACGGTAAGTTACAATAGATACCCATTTTCGATAATAACGTCTGGATTCTCTTGAATTACGGAAATTTCGCGGGAAGCTTCCGAGCGCATCAATGATAGCGCTTGTTTGCCGCCATGTTGATAACGTACTTGTCCGCTCCGCCTCACTCTCACTCAGGCTCAATGGAATACAACGCTGTGCCCACGTGTGAGATTTTCGCCTCTATAACCAGTGGTTGTTAGGGTCGGTGATCAATAATGGCTTCCGCATTTTTGCCTGTGGGGGCTAGGGAAGGTGGTGGAGGGAGTGATTTGCCACCTGAATGACTGGGAACTTTTAAAGTGAGGAAATTGAACTGTCCTGAGTCTACAGTGCGAAATATTAAGAGGAACTTAGCGGAGACCAAGAAGAGTATTGCGCTGGCTAAAAATATTTCGGTAGTGATGGAAATGCGAGGCGAGCTATGAATGATAAAGGCAATAGAAACAGATTGTTAGTGATAACAGAGCAAATTCTTGTGAAATGGTTAGCTTGTAGAATGAAAGACAGTGCAAGTGTTAGCGGCCCTCAGATACGGAACAATCATTACACCAAGCACCTCAAAAACTCCCCCAAGCTAAGTGTTATATTACTCAAACTCTTTATTTTGATGATTGAATAGCAATTCTTTTTATTTCAGCTAACAAACAGTGTTAGGAGGGCTTCAAGGGGAGAAAATGGGTGAAATTCTTGTGGGGGTGGCACCAATAAACCCGTTTTACATGTATTTTAATGTCACACAAATAACGTTTTCTCTAATAACAGTGTTTTTCAGGCACCTATTAAACGTTATTGGTGAGAGCCTACTGCATAAAGATTTTTCAGTTCGATTAACGAACAAAACTTTGATTAACGAAATCCTTATGACAAACACGTTTTGTTGTGCACATCAGCTGATCAGTTGATCGGCTAGTCCGCCAATACAGTAATTGGTTCTATGTTTACATTCGTTTCCAGTGAAGTAAATATCAAGAAAATTGGTCTCTTGAATATTTCTGCATTTTTTATATTAAAATTATTGGTCATTCTGAAATTTAGTTAACATATTGATAATATACAGTGCAGAAATTATTATGAAACATGAAGAAGGCATTAGAACCAATGCACTCTGTAAAGGATATGGCATGTCATCATCAACTGCCTCTACAATCAGCTGTTTGATATGTAAACAAAGCTGCCGGTAATATGACATACACACCTCAAAGTAAGATAAAATACATTATTCTATTTTTTCTTTTTTATTATTGTACAGTAATTCCTCGGTTTACGCAGTTCTCGTTTACGCGTTTCCACATTTACGCGGTCCCCGCCAGAACTGGAATGCCCAATTTACACGGTGCATCTACTCATATACGCGGGTGAAGTAAAATTTTTTTGTTTAGCTCATAAAATTCCTACAAATTACCCTGTCAGAATATAATTTACGTTGCTGGAATTCTTACAATATGATGATCATTTTGAATATAAACATCATGGATTTTGCATTAGACATAAAAATTTTAGATCTAATGTAAGCATTTTGTTTACTCAGAGCAAATATGTTATCTTTTGTGCAAAATATATGACGTGTACAGTAGTACCCCGATTTACGCGGTCAATTGAATCCATGCGGTACCGCGGAAAGTGAAAACCGCTTAAAGTGAACAACAGAATATATGGGATTAATTCCAATAGAGACTGGCCTGACCCCCAAACTCCACTGAGGCAACCAGTTAAACACAACAAATAGATCTATCCAGTATAAATGTACAGCATACTTAAAAAATAATCTTCCTGTCTAATAGAATTATATAAAAAAAAAGTTTTAACTTACAGGCATTTATTGTAGCAAGTGGGACAGTATCTGCCATCCCCGATACAGTGGAGAGAATTGACACATCCGACACACGACGGTTGTGTCCCGCTAGTGATGGGGATCCAGTCGTCCCACCAATGTCCATAAACACTCCTCCATTAGACTGAATGCATTCCACTGTAAGCAAATGACATATACTCTATTGTGAAATACCTCATTCCACGGCCGGAAAACATGAAATCAGTTCGTTTTGGGGGGAGTAAGTGACACAAAGCTGGGTGGTGATATACAAGGTAATTTTTGGTCCTTGTTGTGGAAGGGGAACACCACAGCAACACACTTATGGTAAGGCAGACACAAAACATGAATGAGGGAGACTACATTGTTCTCAACTCTGGCCATCCTGTGCTATAGCAGAAGCCTTGCAAGTGAAGAGAAGGAAAAATCTCAATAATAGATATAAGTTTTTAGGAAGAGTTTAACATCCATCAACCTTAATTCCATTCTTGTTACACAGCACTTCTTTTAATGGTTTTGGCATTAATATTCAACTGTAAAAAGGCACGATTCATGACAGATTCTTCATATTTACTTTTTCAGAATGGTGTAATCTTAAGTACATCATTTTTGGACTCTTAATGATAAAATTCAAGGTTCACCCTCAAAAGATTCATTTACTTCAATACAGGAATTTCTAGCAATATGAAGAATGATCAGGTACCTGTACTCACAATCAACCCATTATATATGAAAAACTTACTTTTGGACACACATTAAAGCCCAAAATGAGACATCTGATGACTTACACAAATGAGTAGGAATGCCATCTCCTAATGGGTACTTGGTGTAGCGAGGTATTGTAACTGGAGTGAGAAGTGAGAACCTGGCAGACAGCAGAGGCTCCACACGAACAGCCAGAGGATCAGTTGGGTGGAAAAGGTTATACACCTGTTGACACGCCGGTCGTTGTATTGTACCTGCAATCAACATCAAATAAGTTGGAGTATGTTTCTTCTGTATGGATATATTGACAGTGTTGTGCCAATTCATTAATAAATCTTTTGACTTGGAGTTACAGTGAACCCTCACTTTACGCGGTCAATTGAACCCACGGCGGCCCGCGTAAAGTGAGAAACTCGTAAAGTGAACAACATAACATATGGGATTAATTGAAATAGAGACCGGGCCGACCCCCAAACTCCACTTTTTCAGACACAATACCTAAGTTGTAGTAAAAATAACTTCTTAATTTTATGATGGTATGCACACACAATTAATAATTAAGAGAAATATCAATAATATTAGGTTTTTTAACACTTACATAGTAGAAAAGATGGCTGGTCACACGGGGATGGGGGTTTGGTTCCGAGGCAGAGGGCAGATTATTGGCCCTCACCTGTATCACTTGTATCAATTGTATCACTATCCACCACATAGGCTTGCAGGGCCTCTTTGTAGAACCCCTCAAAGTCCATATAAGTCCATATCCTCCTTATCACTATCACTGACTTGGGCCGGCTGTGGTGGGTGGCGGGTGAAGAATTCGGTAATGTTTTGATGACTGGGCGACCTTGTGCGCATCCTGCCCGCGCCACTTCCCACGTATATGAGTAGATGCACCGCGTAAAGTGAAAGTCCGGTTCTGGCGAGGTACTGCGTAAATGTAGAATCGCGTAAAGCGAAACCGAGTAAAGCGGGGTTTTACTGTATATTCAAAATATTCCTGGTCTTGCAAGGAATCCAGCAATGTCAATTATATTATCTTAACTTTAGTCTGAGGTATTATTTATTACTATACCTTAAAATCTAGTGTTTTCACCCAAACATTTCTCAGAGAGGGAGGAGCCAGCGAGCGTTGGAAGAGGGGGGGGGGAGGAGAGTTGAGTCCATTATTTGAATGGACATTAACCTGGCGACTGTATTTCTCTTAAATATTAATTGTGTGTGCATACCATCACAAAATTAAGATGTTATTTTTACTACAACATAGGTATTGTGTCAGTATTGTGTCGGAAAAAGTGGAGTTTGGGAGTCGGCCCAGTCTCTATTTCAATTAATCCCATATGTTCTGTTATTCCATTTACGTGTTTCTCGTTTTACTGTCAATTGAATTACAAGGTAATATTGAGGAGGCCTTATCCCAGTCAATGCAATGCTTATTATCCCTCAAATGAACAAACAGGGCATTGGATAATATGGATCTGGTTGATAAACTCAATAACTTACACATTAATTATGATTTTAAACTGGTCAGTTTTGATGTAACATCACTCTTTACAAAGGTCCCAGTTGATGATTTACTGGAGTTCATCATAGATTCCCTTGATAATATTTCATTGCCCGTCTCGAAAGATGACTCATCGAACTCATCAAACTATGTATTAAGGATTGTAAATTTGAATTCAATGGAGAATATTATGCTCAAAAATCCACTCTCACCTGTATTAAGCAACCTATATATGGAATTCTTTGAAAATAAACTATTAAGTAATATTTTACCACCTTCAGCAGTCTGGTTTAGATATGTAGATGATGTATTATGTCTCTGGCCAAGTAATGAGGACCTAAAAGCTTTCCTGCCACAACTTAATAACTTAGCCCCCTCGATCAAATTCACTGTGGAATTAGAGCATGACTGTAAATTGCCATTCCTAGACTAATGTGTGTTCATACATTCATTATTATTCTGCCCACCATAATAGAGTCAAACAGTCAGTATTTTCAACAATGTTTTTACGTGCTTTGAGAATTTGCAGCCCGGGATTCATTGATGAGGAATATAAATATATCTATAATATTGGCTCAAACCTTAAATACCCTAGATCTTTCATAGACAAATGCCCGAACATTACTAAGAAATCTCTCAAATTCCTTTACAACTAAAAACCTGGAACGTCAATGTGGCATTTAAAAACTCATGCACAGTTAAACGAATATTAATCAAGAACTCCCCCAACAATACAAATGGCTGCATTTATAAAGTCCCTTGCAAGGAATGTAATATGTTTTACTTAGGCCAAACAGGTAAAGATCTTGTAACTAGACTTAAACAACATAAATATAGTGTTAGGACTGAATCGGCTGCTTGTCCAATTAACCAGTCCGTTCACACATATTTATATTTGGGTTTTAAGTAACGAAACCCAAACGGTAGTTCCTTTGTTTTATTATAAAAGGTTGTATATATAATTCCTGAGTGTATATCAACCATAAGTCTCACTGTCTAGGAGTGAATGAGAAAAGGGACGGCGTTTATGTATGATAAACGTTAGGTCACGTCCTTACGATATGAGTTGAGGTGAGCTACTGAAGCTTAGGGGCATCGCAGTGCGTGCTTACAGAAATGCTGAGCTATGGGTCTCGCCCTCTTGGGTGAGTTGCCCGCTCACGTGTCCATCTCATGTCTTACTCATAGACAGTGGAAAGTTACAGGGTGGTGAATCTGAATATAATATCAGATGTATTGACCCATTTATATAATACGTTCTGTGATGAGACAGGGGCCTATTACAGGACAGGCCAGGAATCCAATGCTCTGTTTGATCATTTGAGGGATAATAAACATTGCATTGACTGGGATAATGCTTCCTAAATATTACCTTGTAATTCTATTGACAGTAGGAATATTACAGAATCTAGTCTCATTAAACATACCGAATCCGTTAACATGAATTTGAGTAATGGTATGTACAAATTGGACAATTTTGTAATTAAGAAGATTTGTAACCAGGTGAGAAGGTTGGGTCAGTTTTTCCCTCTGACCTGACTACCGACCGCTGCGGTGCTTTTGTGAAGATTAGTAGGGTCATTACCTATACTTGACCTCTGTGGACTTAATCTCACCCTCCTCTGTATATATATAACATGTTCTGCACTTCTTCTTAGTCTGTACTCACCCCTGAAGATGTGAATTACACGAAAGCGCTTGGGAACTTCGTGTTTCTTTTTCCTTGTGGTTATCAGCATATATATATATATATATATATATATATATATATATATATATATATATATATATATATATATATATATATATATATATATATATATATATATATATATATATATATATATATATATATATATATATATATATATATATATATATACAGTGGCCCCTAACGAACTCAATCCGTTCCAGAAGGTCGTTCGTTAACCGAAACCATTGTTTCAATGGGTTTTTGGGTAATTGGTTCCAGCTCACCGAAAATTTCCTAAATTCAACAAAAATGGCGCAACTCCTTACTTTGAGGTGTGTATGTAGAAGGCTCCTGGATGATGATGATGATGATGGGATTTAGAATGGGGGTGGAGGAGAAGGAAGAAGAGAAGGCATTGGGGTGGAAGAGAAGTCACCCCATGGTGCCATTTCACCCATAAAATTTTAGCTCTCTGGTTTAATTCAAGATTATTTTCTTTAAATCAACGCTGCACTGCATTATATATTGTCAATATATAAAATATATTTCAAAATGACCAATAATTTGCTTGGAAACACAGAAAAAAAGCGTTTAGTTGAAGAGAGTCTCAAGCAAGATGTTACCTCCAGTGAAAACAGAGAGAGACTGACGCCTGTTTGCTGTGTTAAGAGGCTGGATGCCGCGCATTAAACTAGTCACTTTACCTTCAATTTTGTTCAATAATTGTTAAAATGACTAAAAAATTGAATATTAAACTTTTAAAATTATTGAATAGTATAAACTTCTTGATATTTACAAAAATAGTAAGGAATTTAAGCCCTAGAACCGATTAATGTATTGGCGGACTGATACTAAAGCTGGTTGCCCTGTCAGTGCAAGCGAAAACATGTTGAGGTCGGTTCGTAAGAAGTTCGTTAAGCGAATTTTTTTTCGTTAACCGAATTGAAGATCCTTATGGAAGGCAGTTCGTTAATCGAAATTACGTTAACCGAGGTGTTCGTTATATATATATATATATATATATATATATATATATATATATATATATATATATATATATATATATATATATATATATATATATATATATATATATATATATATATATATATATATATACACACACACACACACTTTTAATGGTGTATGTGAGCCTGTTAGAACTGACATCATGGCTAGGATGTATGACTATTAGAAAAAATACAGTACTCACATTTCACAAAATTATCAGTACAGTACAGTTCAGTATTGGTTTAAAATAATGTTATGACATAATTATGATGAAGAGTTTAATGATGTTTTGTTTTGCTTTCTGTAGTAACTATATGACAGTGCTTCTCTACTAATTTTTTGTATTTTTATTTTTATTTATTTTTTTTTTTTAGGACCAGCCCACTCCATTGCCTACTGGGGAAGCAATCATGTGTGCATACAAGCTATGCAAGGTAGAATTTCGCTACTGGGGCATGCAGACAAAGATAGAAAAGTTTATTCATGACATTGGTAAGTTTTTGTTTTATTCATGTTGCTACTGTACACTGCTTTTGTTCTCCTTCATTACTTGTTTGTGTAATTATTCATGACCAACCCGCTGCTGAAATTGATAGAAAATTATTTTAAAACTCCGGACTTTCACTGTTTTTATAGTGGACACTGTTGTAGTTTGTGCAAATGTGTTGAAAAAATGATAATTTCTAAAATAAATGTAACAACCTTTGTGGGTATGGAAAACAGACCTAACCAACTTAGCCAAACAGCCTACCTAACCTTACCTTACTTCCTTAACGGGGGCCCTGCCTCTCGGAACCCCCGGTATATTAAACAGAAAGAACTTACTATGATATGGTGAAATTTGAGGCATTATCTGTACAAGAGATCATGCGGCCGCATTGACGCTTATACTGCCCGGGCGGCGGAGTCATTTATTGTGATGGCTGGAAACGTCAAACGTCGAGGAAGTGATGAACAAATTTCATTCCGGTGTGAAAGCACGGGGATTCCCGTAGTGTGCACAGTGTCTATTTAAAGGAACAATGCCGTGGCCTTTGAACAATTGAAGGTTCTCGTTGTCTTTATTCCTAAATTCCCAAATTATGTCCATATAAGACAGGCAACAACCTTCACGCGTCCTGCTGAAAATGAAACTACCACGAGCCCGGGGTAAAGTGCCACAGCAGAGTGCGGCCTCATTACCGCCGGGAAGACAAATTAGTGTGCGCCTAGGGGCCCAATTATCTACAAAACAAAACATTTGCACAAGAACTGATTACCATATCAGAACTCACTGATGAATATGAGGTAAGAAAATAAACAGTAATACTGTACAAATAACTCGTCCCCTTATCAGCTTACCGTACAATACTAGCCATTGAGCGGTTGGTCTATCCAGTGTTAGTAACAGGGGGCAACTGGAGTCTGGGAAACCTGTGATGTTTTGGGTAGTGAGGGTCACACTGGATAACATCCTTCTCATGTGTGTCTGGGCCAAGCAGGATTTGAACCTTTGACATATTGGGTAAAAGATACGTGCATTACCACTCTCTCTTACCTTCTCCTTCCTGCCATCTCTTTTTTAATTATACTCTTTTTACCAGTCATTTATCTTGCATTCTTTCACTGTCCACACTGCCTGATCAGATTATGTCACTCTTTGTCAAGCTACTATTTCACTTCCACATCTTATTTCTGTAATTTTTACTGTTTCCATCATATTTACCCCAAATATTGTTCATAAACACAACATTACTGAAGGAATAAGTTTCTTTCATACACCACTCATCACCCAGCTGGCTCTTATGTTATTCAACTTATTCCATCCCAGTACAGGTTACATTTTATACAAACCACTTCAGATTGAAGAGGCTCTTGTGTTAGTTCATTCATTCATCTGCTGTTTTTTCTTTGCATGTGCAACATTTATCAAGAGAGGATGGTGAGATACTGACCTAACCTAATCTAACAAACAGTTCACTTGACATTTTAGGCATGATTAGCTTTTGGAGATAGCAGGTCAGCACACAGGTTACTGGATTCTCTTCACCTTACACCATATCTATAGGGAGGTTTACGACTGGATGGATAAATATTGACGTTACTTACACCATACTGTACACTACAAATGGACTTTTATATTTGGAATTTCTTTTGGGGGTTGCTGGTCATCTGAAAAGGACAAGATTGCCTGGAAATTCTTGTATACAGAGACATAGTATTTCAAGACTGGGTGGTTGCATGCTCATCATATACACACATCAAGCCTTATCCATAAAGTACTTGATCTGAATAGCTTTTGAAGGTTATAAGTAAAAATCAGAGGTCGTAGTTCAAAATGATGAAGGTATTGTAAACCCTTGTTAGTAATCCCCCCATCCCCCCTCCCCACACAGATACTAATTTTCATCTTTTCTGTAAGAACAATTAATACAATTAATTATTTACTTGTAAATACAACATATGTTCTGTAAATATTTGTCTCTTTTACAGCTTTGAGGAAGACAATGCTGCGAGCCCACCGACAAGCATGGGCATGGATGGATGAGTGGTGGGGACTCACTATTGATGATATTCGTAACATTGAGAAAGAAACTCAGAAGCTTCTTGCTGAAAAATATGGACCAGGAGGAAATGGAGAAGAAGAAGGTGAAGGAGGTGGTGATATTTCTGAAGCTGGGACAGAGGTTCCTCAAAGCCCGAGTTTGTCGTCAGACCGAACTCCTAATCTAGAACAGTTGAGCAAGTGCAGCTCATTTAGGACTAGTAATGATTTAAGTGAAAATTCTCATGTTCTCTGTGATGAAGAAGAGACGGTGGTAAAGAGTGTTGTAAATAATAATAATAACAATAATATAGGAGGTGCAGACAATGGGCGACTTTTGGGTGCTAGTCCCAAGCTTCAGAGAAGAGAACTGAATGTTAGTATGGACAGTATACTGACTGATGATGCCAGAAAAAGAGGATCATGGTCAAGAAGTGGTTCTAGAAACACATTAAATTCTCAAAACCAAGGTGAGACTTGATTACTTTGTTCCCTGCAGTGCTTGATGGTGTTGCTACTGCTCTATGATAGGAATGTTATTTGTTAACTTATGAATTTTAGCATTTCCTTGTTTGTTCTCACAGCAAATTGGAGAATGGAGAGTATTAGAAGAGATTCAGAGTCTTCAGGAAGTGAAGAGGAATTCTTCGACTGCCAGGGTGAGTAATGTACTGTAGTGAGCATAAACCTTTTTTTAGGGACAATTGGTTACAACCTCTTAAAACTTTTCAGTAACCATTTTATCATTATATACAATGGGTCACTAGTCTATATGCATTTTTATACTGTAATTATAAAATAGAATTGATACCTACCTCAATACAGTACAGTACAGACTGGGTGGATTGCAGGGTTAAGTTCCTTTAAATACCATTATACATCAGGTCACAATTGGTCAATAATTAATTGGGAAAGTTAGTTCTGTCCTAAGATGGTAAATTTTTCACCTATAGAGTGTACAGTATATCCTAGTGTGTATGTATAGTAGTAGTTCAATATTTTGTCCTAATTGAGTCATCGAAGTGGGTAACCAGTTGTAAATGCTGAACAATTATTGCTCGCCCTTCTATTGTCAGATTAAATGCACTGCTTCCCCCATCCCAGTCAGCCCATGGCATATTAAAAACATGCATTATGGCCATTTTTTAGCCCAGTATATTCTACTATATTACTGAATTATAATATGGTGTCAATTGTACACCAAAACACTTGATCAAACAATGTCATGGATGCACACAGTAAGTCATGGTAATTGTTCAGAGTCAGAGTGGAGGGGGTCAAGTCATGCTGTTCACTGCCCAAGGCATGGCAATAGGCACTGATGGTGTGCACATTAGTGAAACAGTAACAAGTGTCATCAGGTGGACTCAGGTCTGCATGAGTTACAGTTAATTGTTAAGTGGGACAGTTAGGTGCTGTGTTAAGTCTGGTTAGGTAGCATTGCTCAAATTCACTGGAGGATGGGGAGGGTTTAGGTGTGTATGTGTCTGTCTGTCTGTGGTGTCAATGAGGTAATACGTATGTGTATGGTTAATGTGTGTTTGTGTGCCTTTATGGTATAAGTGAAGGAATATATTTCTGGTGAGTGTGTGTTGTACCAATGAGACAAACACACTGTTAGGGTTGAGGATATAAACTGCTGGTGTAAGTTGTAGAGGTTTAGGACTGCTCCATGAGTAAGGTAATATGTTTCTGGTCATTTTTATGGTGGGCTAATTAGGAATGTATTTGATAACATACCAGTGGCGGCTCGTGAAAAATAAAATGGAGGGACTGCAAGCCTCACACAACAGTAGGATACACAAATTTGACCTACCTCAGGTATGAGTTGTAGTTGATGTCCACGAATTCCTAGGGCATGGTAGTAGTGTTGGTGGTAGAAGGGATGGCCGAGGTGGTGATGGACCAGTATTAATTGAAAATAAAGTCCGCGCGTCTGCTCTTTGATGTAGCAAAATTGTTTATTACTATTTCTGTTATCATTTTATTTTCAATGGATATCACTGCTAAAGCAGACAATCTGTCATTCACCATGGTACTGCGCAAAAAAGTTTTAATTCTCTTCAAAGTTGAAAAGCACCTTTCTGCTTCTGCCGTTGTCATTGGAGTTGTTATTAAAAATTTCAGCAACTTGACAGTGTCTGAAAATGTTGACTGTAGATTATTGTCATTCATCATCTCCAACAAGTCTATGAGACTTTCTGATTTACACAAATCACTATTTAACCACACCGTCCACACACAATGTAAACACGTTGTACGAGACTGAGCTGCTTCAAGTGCAGCTCATTGTCTCCAGAAGTGGTGCGGCGGCGGCGCCAATTAATAACAGACATGAATCGTACAGCATTGACAGCAACTATGAAAGTAACTTAAATTTTGGTCTGATTTTAATGAAAATTCACTTAGCAACGTATTGAAAATAATTAAATAACATATAAAATGATATATTTGTTGGTAGTGTATTATTCAGCTGTCTCTCTAAAGGAATCATACGCCTGGCAGTGAGTGTCTGGGGGGGACTGCAGCTCTGCAGCCCTATGCACGAGCCGCCACTGTAACATACAGTATTTGATGTATGACATGGCTGACTGATATCAGGGTAGAGCTGTCATCCAGGGCTGTGAAATCTGGTTTGAGGTTTTTATGTAGTTTTTCCAACAGCAAGTTTAAGTTTTAGATGTGTAAGATAATGGTGAGCATCATCACAGGAGCAGTAACTGCTGGCTGCCACTCCAACAATTCTCACAGTATTCCAAATATTTCTACTGAATCCCACTGGAAAATGAAAAAGATTTAGGACAATCTTTGAATGATTTTGTTAAATTTAATAAAATGGATCAACTTTATGTGTGGAACTTGTATGATATTCTTTCACTTTGTTATATGGAACTAAGTATTGGAATATTTTCAAAGATCCACCTTACATGGCTAATCATACCAACCAATTAGAGTGTTCTGCTTGCTGGCATCAATGCATCTCACAAGGTGGCCACTCGTTGGCCACCAAACAGATAAAATAATGGCTTGACGAATGAAACTAGCATCTTCCTTGAAATTACTGTGATCTTGATGGACAGTTGTGCAGTCTGCCTGGTCTGGTCTTTACCGTATTAGTATTTTAAATTACATATTTCCATTAATTTAATCATAAAACAGTATGAAGAGAGACTGTTGCCTTATAATAATGCTTACTTTATATTGTCAAGTACGACTTTCAAAGAAATTGTCAGTTATGATGATTCTTTACATGTGATCTCCACAGCTTGTGTACCTTAGAGACTGGAACTCAGTCATGGGACCAATATAAGCTGATAGGGTTCATAAAATGTTATTGCATGATACACGTAGATGTTTCATATCTGTGCTACAAGTTATGGCTTTCCAGAATAGTTATTTTAGATGATATTTTATTGATACTTTGATTTTCAGACGAGATATGACTGAGTGTCTCTTATTTGATTATTTCATTGAGTTTTATGTGTTTGATAAATGCTGTTTTTTATTGTAAAAATCTGATGAGTTGAGAGGTGATAGATTCAGAATTATACCGGGTATGTGTATATACAGTATGCAAGGGAAGAGAACTTATCGTAATTTATAAAACTTTATAGATTAATGACTTCAGAGCGGTATGGATATATTCGTAGATTATAAAGGAATAATCTTTTATATGGGATTGCTCAAAATCTGTATCCCTACACTGTGTTAAATCCACTTGTAAGAGCAGAGGGCGCACTTAGTATTTACCCGAGCTAATTTGGTCGGTGCCAGTGTCTGTACTCTTGGGCCATGAACAGCTAACAACAGGGTGTGAATGTCAGTGTGAGGTTGATTTGTGAGTGTGAAGTGTATGTTTCTATATGGAGGGATGGATGGGTGGTGTGGTGGGTGGGATACAGTAGTGAAAGGGGTGTATGGTGGAGATTCCTTACTGTGATTAGCTAAACCAGGAAGTGTGGTTCACCCCATGCCTTATTGGCTCTTCTGTCAGGAAATCTTGCATAGACATTAGTGCTTTTGGCTTTTTACAGAACAGAATATTGAATTTTTCAACTAAGTTGGAATGGCAAATAAGAATGTTGTGTATAAGAAAGTGCAGAAATTTACTTGAAGGAGTTGAGCAGCTGGCTTGTGTTGGTAGGCTTTGCTTCCTTTTTTCTCCTCAGATGTTACACTACTGCCAGATGTCCCTCACTCTCTTGTACTTGGCCTTCCACATCCACTCAGTTTTGACACTGTTCAACAACTCACTGTCTGAGTACAACAATGGCTCCTCTTCAAACATAATTTTTAGGACTGTAGAGTATTCTACTCACACCCTAGCCTTGGGAGTGTCTTGTGATAAAAGTATAGTACTGTATAGTAGAAGCTCAAACATCTGAAGGTAATCTCCGAAGTCCAGCAGTTTTGAATAATAATAAAAGTTTAAGCCATTTTTCTCCCTAAGTTACGTTGATCATATAGCTATTTGAGGATTCACAGATTGCCGTATATAAAATGTAAGCGTGCTTGTGTGTATGAAAATTGTGTTTATATGATAACATTTATTTAGTTACAGTATGTAATCGTCTATATTTTTAATAGAAATTATCCCTATATAACACGATAGTGTGCTTGTGAGTTTTGCTAAAGCATTTGTACTAGTGTAGTCTGGGTTTACGTGGCTAATTTAACCCATGGAGGTCTGCGTATAACGTGAAACGCGTAAATAAAATAACAGAACATATGGGATTAATTGAAATAGAGACTGGGCCGAACGCCAGACTACCCCTTTTCCGACACAATACGTACGTTGTAGTAAAAATAACATCTTAATTTTATGATGGTATGCACACGCAATTAATATTTAAGAGAAATATCAATAATATTAGGTTTTTTAACACTTACATTAGTAGAAGAGATTGTTCTAGTCGTAATGTATATGGGACTAAACATATATTATATTGGGTAAGAGTAACGAAACCCAATTGTCTGTTTCTTCTTTTATTGAAAACTATCGTTTATATAATTCCTGAGTGTAAATCAACCGTAACTTGCATTATTTATGAGTGTGAAGGGAGAGGACGGTGGCTATGTAAATAGACCGTTTAATCACGTCCTTTCGACGTGAGATTATGAGTGAGACTTCTATGAGCAGTGACCAATCGAGGGAGAACGGAATAGGTGCGTCGTCCTCCCTCGAGGGAAGACGGAACCATCCACGATGGCTCTCAAATAACGTCTTCCTCTAGTCAAGGATATCAAACTACTGAGTTGTGAAGGGTTCTACATGGCATGGCTGAAAATTTACAGTTTGTGATACTTCTGTAGAACTATCATATTTTTAGTTTGAGAAGATGTGTCTATGACATCATTAAAATATGCAGTTTGAAAATTATGAACATTATTATCCTCCTTGGGATCAAAAGAAGATGTCCACATTTTCTATGTCTAAGGTTTGAAAAATTATTTAGATACAAACCAAAGAAATAACCTTGTCCATCCATTTACAGGAAATTGATAAAAATTATAATTAAAATAATTAAAGTATCATTAACTGAACAGGTAAGAAATAAATACTGGATATTATATTATGTCAGTACTGTATATAGTATTAAAATAAGTAAGGCACTTATAACACATAATATGACCTACACAATGTACTATCAGTGTGAAG